CCGCATGACAGCCGAAGAACGCGACAAGCATTACAAGGAAGGACGATGCTTCAACTGTCACGAGATCGGACATCTGTCCAGGAACTGCCCGAAGAAGAATGGGAAAGGGAAGCAACCTTTCAGGAAGAACCGAGTTATGGAAGCCGAAGAAGAACCGGAGAGAGAAGATGACGATGAAGCCTCCAACCCGGACACTAGAACCCTGGTCGCCGCTAGAATCCGCACCGCTCTCCAAGGGATCAGTGACCCGGCGGAAAGGAAGGGAGTGCTTTCGGAGTTCCTCGACGAGGGTTTTTGAAGCCGCGGTACGCCTCGACGTCGTCACCGCGCACGCAGGTCCGTGCAGTAATTATGGCCAATGTATCGAAGCAATCCATGCGGATTCCTATTGCCATAATCACGGACCGAACCGTCGAAACCGAAGCTCTCATTGACACGGGAGCTCAAGACTCATTCATCGATTACCGATATGTCAGGAAGAAGAAGCTCCCGAGCCGAGATCTGAAGAACCCGATACGGGTACACAATGCGGACGGAACAGCAAACCAACAAGGGACCATCAACAAGTGTGTTGTGCTAGAAATCGAAGCTGGAGGACACAGACATCTGCTCCGACTACTTGTCACTTCACTGGGAAAGGAGGCCATCATCCTAGGACTACCATGGCTACAAAGGGTCAACGCGGAAATCGACTTCAATCAGGGAACATTGCAAATCAATCCAGACAAGGTCAATCTCACTCTTGTAGAGAGACTGCGCAACAAGTGGTTCCCTGAACAAGACAAGTTCACTGGACGAACTCTCCACACGGTACGAACCGAAGAGGAACTCAAGCAGGAATCCACCAATCCAAAGCAGGATAGCATCTACGCTGAGCTCCCTCCACCCTATTACGAGACGGAAGAGCAGGAACAAGATCTCGTCCTTGCATACCTCAGCAAATCCAAGGGATATTCCACCGAATGGCACGGTGATCTACCTAAACCGGGGAGTGCATTGACAACTGAGAACCCTGAAGACGGAGAAGGAATGCAACGACCACGACGAGGACCCACAATTGGCAGGATTCACTTTGCCCCACATGGAACCCGGTTCAACTATTCGATGAACCTCTGGATCAGAGCAAAAATCAACCCAGCCATGGCCATGGCTCAGCAAGCACACGACTCAGCCCCACGAGAAGTCCCAACACCTTACCAGGAATACGCGTCGGTCTTTGAGAAGAAAGCAGCAGAACGCTTCCCCTCAAGCCGACCATGGGACCATGCCATTGACCTCAAACCAGACTTTGTACCCAAGGACTTCAAACCTTACCGATTGTCTCCCCAGGAACAGAAGGTGGCGGATGAGTTCATCGACGAGAACTTGAAGAAGGGCTACATTCGAGAATCCAAGTCGCCAATGGCATCACCACTGTTCTTTGTCGGAAAGAAGGATGGATCTCTCCGACCGTGCCAAGACTATCGCTACCTCAATGAAGGAACCGTCAAAAATGCTTATCCTTTACCACTGGTATCCGAACTCGTTGACAAGCTCCAAGGCGCAAAGATCTTCTCCAAGTTAGATCTTCGATCAGGATACAACAACGTGCGAATCAAGGATGGAGATCAATGGAAGGCGGCGTTCAAGACCCATCGAGGGCTGTTTGAACCAATGGTCATGTTCTTTGGGCTATGCAACTCCCCAGCCACGTTCCAAGCCATGATGAATGCCCTCTTCAAAGACATGATTGACGAAGGATGGCTGGTAATCTACATGGACGACATCCTCATCTTTTCCAAGGACAAGAAGGAACATGAAGAAAGAACTCGACGTGTTCTCGAACGGCTACGGGACAACGACCTCTATCTGAAGCTAGACAAGTGCATCTTTGATGCCCCAGAAGTCGAATACTTGGGCATGATCATCCGGGAAAACCAGGTAGCCATGGACCCTGTGAAGCTGAAAGGAATACAAGACTGGACCGAGCCAAAGGACGTCAAAGGAGTCAGGTCGTTCCTGGGGTTTGAAACTTCTA